GGGGGGAGAGTGGGTGGCAGGGCAGGAGACAGTGGGGGCCCCCACTGCCTGCCACTGGGCCCCCCCCCCGCCCCGCCCCCATCCCAGCGACATCCCAGTGCATTTCCAGTCCAAACTGGTGGATGGGCGGAGAAGGAGCCCAGCTGCCCTCGACGCTGCTCCGGGTGCAGATCAGGCCTCGTCCCCGGGTGGGTGCAAACCCCATCCCAGTTGGCTCTTTTTGGGACCCTTCCCCGCAGCATCATGTCCCCATGGGGGTCACCGCGTCCCCCTCGGCTCAGCCCCCTCGCTCCCTCACTGCCCGGCGCCCCAGGGCTGCCAGTGCCCAGCCGGGGAGCCGGATCCGGCTCAGCCCTGGGCAGGGGCTGCTCTTCCTCCCCCTTCGCCTGCCAGATGCAGAGATCAGCTCGTGATAATGTCTGCTGCTGCGCTGCCTCACCGGTGGCGCGGAGCCTATCTCCTTCACACCATCGCCCCGCAGCCTGCCGTGCCGCGACGGCTGGGAACTGGCTCAGCGCCCTGCTCAGGGCTGTGCTCGGGGAGCAGGGACAGAGCCCTCTCTGCCTCTTGCAGCCTCTCCCGGGCAGAGAGGCCAGAGAACGGTCACAACTCATCACGTAGATGCTCCCAGCCAGAGCCAGAGCAGGCAGGGGCTGGGATTTCTCAAGGGCAGCCGCGTTTAAGGGTGTTTCAGGCCAAGGTCATGCACCCGCATCCCCCACAGGGCCGCCCCTGACCGTCAGCCCGCAGGCAGGGCGGCTGTAGGCCCTACAATAACATGGAGGAGCGGGGTCTTGGTGGTGCTGCTGGAGTGGCGGTACCCGTGGTGGGAGGGAACGGGGCTTCCCTGTGTGTGGGGCAGACCCTTCCCCCAGGTTAACCAGGAGCACCCTCACCCTGGCCGTCGCCCTCCCTGGACCGCAAGCCCTGCGGGGTCTCCCCCACCTCGGCCGGTTTGGTGGCGCTGTTAAGAGGGAGAAGCAGCGATCGCCAGCAGGCGACGGAAGCCCAGCTGCCCTCCCCGACCTCCACCTGCTGCCGGGGATGCTCCGCGACCATCCCCCTGGTGTCCTGCCCAAGGGCACCCCCTCCCTTTGCAGCCCCGACTCTGGCTTCGGGCTCCCTCCGGCGCTGCCCCGCTCGGCGTTTCGCTTACCCGGCACCTCGCGGGCTGTTTGCTTCCTCTGTGGTCCCAGCCCCGCCACCTTTGGGGCTGCACGCTCTCCCCCACGGCGCGTTGCTCGCCCATCGGCTCCTCCCGGGGTTTGGCGCAGCCCCCGTGCTCCCCTCTCCCAAGTAACGGGGAAGGGCAGGGCTGCTTCGTGCCGGGGTCCCACGTGGGGCTGGGGGTCCCCATGTCCATTTTATCCCCCCTGTTTGTCACCCCGGGGACATTCGGCATCAATAGGGTGAGTGGCTCAGGGCTGTGCCATCATGCCATGAGCGCTGAGGATGAGCCGAGCCCAGCACCCCTGCCGGCATCGTCAGAATCACAATCCCCCCCCCCCC